GCTCCAGTTTGATCAATACAGGTTTATGTTAGCAGGGTAGGACATACTGTAAAACAATTGTGTTAAAGTAATTAAATGTGATTAAGTAAATGCCAAAAGCATTTTTTCAGTGTACTTTTAACTGAGAGTGGAACTTATGGTAGGAAAATAAATGCTCAAAGGAGAACGGGTGAAAAAAGGTTTGGAAACACTGCTGTCTAGTACTAAACGTGTTCGCCATGATCTCAGCCATGGTTGGTTTGCTTTGGTTTCAGGTTTACTGCCCAGAAACCAGTCAGCTGATACTAATATTTGCAAGCAGAAGATGTGGCGGATAAAGGAAGCTGAGGTCATTATGAAGTGCTTAACGACCTGTGGCTCATTCCTCACACCTCACCTGATTCTAGGCTGTGGGATTTCTCCAGCAGAAAGTCTCTGATCCTTTCCACCCACAGGTACAGGATGCTCTCCCCCGCATGCTCCCTGTTGGAAATGAAAGAAGTGGCCTGTGAGGATGGAAGCTCTAATTCACACTCTGAGCGGAGACGCTGCCCGGCGGAAAGGATAATGAAAGCTTTTGTTGTGAAGTCAGATATTATGAGAAGCACTCACACGTAGATGTCTTCCAGGCTGTTTGCCAATTTGGCCCTCTCAGAGCCTCGCAACCACGCCGCACTACAAAAGCCCAGAACAAACACAGGGTTATGGAGTGGGATGCGGAGTGCGCTTTGGAGTGGGACGTTGTTCTTTCAAATCAGCACATCTCCCTCATATTATATCTGAAAGGCAAATAGACTTACTTGATCTGATAGATGGGCGGAGCTGCGCTCGGATAATCAGGTGGAAGGATTATCTGATCAGCGAGGGAAAGAAAGAAAGAAAGAAAGAAATAGGGTTTTAGAAAGAACCGAAAGCAAAAACACTTCAGATTCATATGCAGGATTTTTATTTTTTTTGCTTCTTTCTGCACCTGCAAACATGCAGTCAGTTTCTGCTCCTCTGCGTCGCTGGATATTTTGATGCAAAATATTCTGGACGCTTCGTCTATGACACACCACTCATCTCCATAGATAGATGACAGAGCCTCGACCTCTTCGATCTGAGTGAGAAGAATCAAATTAGACAGAAAAAACAAGCCTTCTAAGAGCCTCGACATTTTAATCCCTCCTAAAGCCCCAAACTGATAACAGAATTTCAACAAGAGAAACAAAGAGGTCTTCAAATCCTCACAGTACCTCTGACACCACATCATCACTGTTTGGTTAAAAGAAAATGGAAAATTATTCAGCAAAAGTTTGTTTGTAGAGGTTCTTCTATCTTCACACATCTAGACCAGCAGAAAAAACATTTGCATAACATCTAATATGCAACTAGTTAGAGAAAACCAAGAAACTGACACAACCTCAACCCTTTAGGGCTTTCAGTAAAACACTTTGGATATTTTCAAACCAATAGAGTTATTGGAATCCAGGACGAGACCTTATTGCCTTCGTAACATTCAAAAAATATGGATATTTTGATGGAAATAATTAATGTCAATGTAATAAGAAACGCCAACTTACCAAAAATATATATTAAGAAAAATAACAAAAGTGCTTCTATAAGGAATTCATGAGTAAAAGAAAGATATTTTTTTGGTTAAGGACATTTTATTGACTATTATGACATTTAAATACAACATTTTTTGTTGCTGTTTGTTAAATCGAAAATGATTCTGTAAAATGGCAAAAAACTTAATTGGTCAAAACACATTTTTATTCTTATCATTTAAAAAT